TATTCACCTCGCGCCTATCGATCTGCAAACGAACTAACGTATTAGCACTTCGATTGAATGAATACATACAGTATACGAACTATACCAAGTCATAGGAAAAGGCTACCTGGCACAATCGTTGAAGCATGAATTTCATTTCACTCAAGTCCGACTTGACCTCCGCCAAATCCGTCTTCACCTCCGCCATGTCCGAAGCTAAAAGATCCAGCCTTCTCTCCACAGCCCTGAATCTATCATTCGATCCACTGGTGTCGTGCCGTTGTGTAGCGCAAGCATCGCGCGACGTCGCTCGTGGTGATTGCCACGTGCTTTGCCCCACATTCGACCGAATAGAAGTACTTGGTCGAAGTACTTTGACAGGTGTCCATTACCCACCTTCAGATGCGGCCTCTGTACGTGGCATATCTGAAGACTCATCCGGCACTGCCTGTACATTCGTTTCCAACGAATGCACATCGTCGAGTGGGAGATCGTCTTTGGCGCCAAAATTGTCGGTGATTGGGGAAGGATTTTGTCCATCATCGCTGTCGGAGGTGGAACACCCAGGCGCATTTAAATCAACCACCTCTCTTTCGTCCAACGGACACCTCTGGTAGTCCTTATCCAGCTCCGTCTTCATGAGTGGATAAGATATGACCAACTGAACGTACATCACAAGAACATAAGGACGTGTAAATACCATTACAACTAGACAACAATAAATATATTATAGATCACTTACCACCGCTGAACCAAGGACCTCCTCCCCCAGATCTTTTGTACCGACGACTCTACTGCACGAATACCGAATTATCCGGGGAATGGCGGTCTCGCTCAAACGATTGACACCGGGAGTGATGAGTGATGGGACAACCTCATATATCCACACCTGAATATAAAATTTCAGTTTAGTCTCACACCTAAAAAAGTTTTCACAAACAAGAACAACTCGTATGCATACGTATTGATTACCTAAAACGCAAGCGGAAATCCCGGTAGGCTATACTTTACTAGATACTTTTTGTTCATTCTTACTTTGTTCTTGTATAGCGCAACTTTTCCATTCATCGCACGCTTCAGGCCGTTAACTGTCCTACTCCAGACATCAGAACCCCAGTCCAAATGGTTGAAGTAGTCCAAGTCATCGACTTGGTTGTACAAGTCGATGTCAACCTTCGACTTGCTCTTGCTCTCTCCCATCATCACAAGCTCCGTGTACAAAATTAATGTCACTTTAACGGCGTCCTCATCGTCCTCGAAATCAGTCTGCTTGTAAACCTCCACAAACTCTTCGAGCAGCATGGAGGCTTCATCGTTGAAGTACTTCCTCCGCAACCTATTCTTTCCAATATTTTTCTGGACCGCCTTACCGGGCAGCCGCCACAATCCCGTTATAAGCATGAATTGATCCTTCGAGAATGTCAACACGTTGCCACCAATTAAGAAWCTCATGTTGTCGTCACTGCTCCCAGCAACCTCCCTTGACAGAAAGTGATGAACTACACCACTGCAGAACATCATCTCCAAATCGACAAATCGACCAAATATTGTTCTTCTACGAAATATATCAAGTTGGTCCGCTGTGAGCTTATCCTTGATAAGTCTGTTGACATTGCTCAAGTGAGACATGCTGGTAGTTTGAGCCAGAAAGCGGTCATTCTCCTTAATCCTCAACTGATGGTCCATTGTGCACCTGCAACAAATTGAACAATATATATCATGACAAATTAAGCAGATAGAGAAACGAAAACACGCAAGTAGTTCAAAAATTTAATAATTGAACATGGTACATAATCACGGATTAAGAAGATAGGGAAAGGGAAACACGCAACTAGTTCAAATACAAAATGTAAAACACTGTAATTTTTCTCGATCTCGATGTTTCTCGCTCTCGATTTTGCTCTACCTATTTCACACCCTATAATTGCAAATCAATGGAGCTTCTCTCGTTCTCGATATTTCTCGCTCTCGATCTTTCTAGCTCTCGATGTTCTAGCTCTCGATATTTCTAGCTCTGGATTTTCCAAGTTCACTGTATCCATCACGATGATTCTCGATTTCGCTCTTCCTATTGCACACTCACGATAATTGTAAATCACTGGAGATTCTCTCGTTCTCGATATTTCTCGCTCTCAATCTTTCTAGCTCTCGATGTTCTAGCTCTCGATATTTCTAGCTTTCGACTTTTCATGTTCACTGTATTCCTCGATCTCATTTTTGGCTCTGGCTATTTCAACATCAGCCCCCCCCCTCAGTATTATTGGTTTTCAAAAACACGATTTTATCCTTCATCGATTCATTTCCATGGCGCCGATTACGTATTATTTTCCTCTTCTCCAAAAGCCCTAGATGTGCAATGTAAAAAATCCACAAAAATCGCAAAAGAGACAGACGACCAACGTCGGGGTTGTACAGAACTTACGAACAATAGCTAAAATAGTGGAAATTAAAACGAAAATCTTAACCAATTCGAGAGATAAATGCACTAACCCAAAGTTAACGATGAAATCTCCTTCGTTGTAATCTGCTACCAAAATCACTTCGTCTCACCGCTTGAAGACGACAGAGTCAGAGTTACCTTAAAGAGTCGCAATCGAAATACGAAGGAAAACGAGAACGAGATTTAGAGAAATGTAATTTCAATCGCAGGTGAAGACAGTCAAATTTGAGTCGAGCGAATAATGCTACAGTGTGAGTGCAATAAAGATGGAACGGACGTGAGAAAATTGAAAATTCTGACTATTCGTATTACCCAAGTAAGGGAGGAGGGAAAACTAAAATTTGGTACCCAAGTAAATAGGGACATTGGAGGTCATTTGACAAAGTAGGTGATGTCTGACTAGAAAACTTGTGTTTTGAGGAAGGTGATTAAAAAACTTGATAGGCCCCTGCAGGAGGCTTATTTTGTCAATTTTCCCACTTAAAAAAATGAGAAACACAAAACGAAAAGAATTACCAAATACTTTTTCTTAAAACTAGAAATGAGAAACAGAAAAACCTTACCAACGACATTTACATATCTTCATCCCTTTCAAGGGTCGAAGTACAAAGTTTTTTCATCACTTAATTTAACGAAATAGAATTTTTTGGTCAAAGTATAAACAGATGCAGATTTCTGCAAAACAAACTATCAAGAAGAGCAAAAACTGGCGCCTAATTTTACTCAAACCAGCCATGCTTCCCTATGAGTTCTCCAAGTAGGTCACCTGCCAAATACGATAAGCCGAAAGCTACAACTCCGATTGAAACATAATAAGCAATATTCTTGAAGTAGGTTCGCCATTTTTTCGGTTTCTGAAGGTGAGTTCTCGAGATGGCGAGAAATGCAATGCATGGAAAAGAAGCTGCTGCAACTGCTCCGAGCTTGAGAACTTTGTTGTCGATTGACTCCCGAAATGTGAACGCATAAACCAAAGGAGGAACTAAACCGAAAAACGAGAACGATATGAATGCCATTGAATAATGGAGAAGCCAATGCATTCCTTCAACCATTACTTCTTTGTAGTTCTTGCATCCTCTATTGAGCGTTTTCTTTTTCCGTCCTGCCAACTGTATATGAATTGTTAAATTCAACAACAATAGAACTTCACTGATAATTGGCTACTGCAACATGGGAGAATAGTTAGAGGAAAAAAGAAATCTGTCTTCTAGATATTTTCTACGTTATTAGATTATTGGGATTTCGAATTATATGGTCTTATCATATGAAATTTTTGGGAATTTCCAGTTGGAAATGTTGATGACTACATAATAATATTCGATCTAGATCTTGCAATAGAAAGTGAAAGAAAGTTGTTCTCTTGAACACTTTACTTTCTTTAACTACTTTTCTTGATTACAAAGGAGGGAAATGACCCTTTATTTTTTTTTTCTTTTCATTTTTTTATAGAAAGATGAGCTTTCATGGAGAAGAAATGAGATGATACAAAAGGGAACCCAACAAAAAGAGCAAAAACACCGTCCATAGTAACTAGGCTCCAATCTAAAATGATTAAGCCTAATGGAAAGTTACAAAAATATTTAGAAACAAATGTCAATCCTTAGAACCTAACAATGGATATTACCTCTTGGCTCTTTCCAAGGCCTCTCAACCCCTTTAAACGTACTACTATTCCTCTCAATCCAAAGACCCCACAAAAAGACACACACCAAAGGATATCTGACCCTTTTCGCGAAAGGGTTGGTGTAAATTTAAAAGAATCTCCTCCATTATAAAATGATAATCTATGTTCCAAGCCAAACTAACAAGTAACACCAAATAACTCTTAAAAAATATTCAATATCAAGCAAGAAAACTGACAGCTCCAGAGAATATGATCAAAATTCTCAAATGCGTTCTTACAAAGAGTGCACCACTGCAACCCTAACAAGAACGAAGAACACTTTTGAATACGGTCCAAAGCGTTAACCCTCCCATGT